TGAAAAGAATATGTGTCAGGAATTGAGGGCTTAGAACTAATCTTTGCAAAAGCCATTGACATAACGCAATACGTGGATACAACAAATTGCCCTTAAGAATTTTCCAAACTGTCCAACGACTTACTTGGATCTTCCTCTATCAGGTACAGCACATTCTCTTCCAGTTGTACTGTTCTTACTGTCATTAATCTTATTTCAACTTGCCTGTTTCACGAAGACGACGATGAATGTGTTCGAAGATTTTTCGTCGGGAATATTACAGCCAGAAAACCGTTCAATGTACAATCGTTTAGCTTTCAAGGAATTGCCATCAGCAAGTCTCTACATGAAATGCATTTCAGTCATCTAGGAGTTATCATACATGGTAGAGGGCTTCACTGAATATTAAAGACATATCAAACGGCCAAACGTCACTCAATGTAGAAAACTGCGACCGCGCGATACCGGTGATTATCACTTCCGAGATATGTTTAAATGAAATCCACTTGTACGTTAGTAGATGAAACAATCGTCAACAATGTTTTGTACTTGCTACATTCATTGGCGTACGAATATTTTATTTACATCAAATGTTTCAACAAAAATATCGAATATGGTTGTCGCAAATTTTGTTCACCATGTATCTTTGACACAAAGGGGTTTTTCAGAAATCATTATAGGACAAAATATTCTTAAGGTGGGTACTGACCAACGATACGAGGCGTAATGTAACATGTTACACAGCGAGCACTCATGCAGTCAGTACGTAGTGTTAAGGTGCGTATACATATGCGAGCCAAGCGGTTCGCGAGCCGCTTGTGAGCCGCTCGATGGTGGTTCGTTGAAATGATTTTTTCCGCGAACCTCCAGCGATCCACAGATTCAGCGCACCAAACGCAAACAAACATCGCAGTCGACAAATGCAGTATGGCTTCGCGAAACGAAAATTATACTATTTTAGTGATGAGTGCTGCAGTTTTAGTAATGGCTGATGTAAATAAAAAAAAGAGAAGACAACGACGTTGGTGGCGTACTAATTTATTCAAGAAACGCAGTGGTAGGGGAATTTTAATGGACCTAAAGTCGCAAGAAATAAGCGGACAGTATAAAAATTTCGCTCGAATGACACCTACTGACTTTGAGAATCTGCTGCAAAGGATTGGACCCCATAGTCCAAAACAGGAGACTTATTTTCGTACTCCAATCTCTGCCTAAGATAGGTAAGTCGGTGTACCGTGGACAGGTAGCTTTGTTTTTTAACAATTTTTTTAAATTAATATTCTAGGTTAGCCGTAACACTTCGGTTTCTTGCCACGGGAGATTCATATACTAGCCTTCAGTATCTATTCAGAATTTCTAAGCAGTCGATTGGGCGTGTAGTACCCCAAGTTTGTGCTGCACTAATTAAGGAATTGCAGGGATATATCAAGGTAACAACGTTAATATATAAATTAAAGGCCTGTGTGTAATTCAAAAATATATTTTTCTTCACTTTAAAGTAATTTCCACCACTAAGTTAACAAACAAAAAATAGAACTCAAAAACGTTACACAAAATCTTCATAATTTTCTGATGTGAGTGACGAAACAGGTGATTGTAGCGATGATGGGTTAGACAATGATGGTTCAGAAGTTGCAGGAACGGTTATTATTTGCAGAGGTTGTGAATAATAAGTTTCAGAAGATTGAGAATATAGATTATGTGAAGTAGGTTGGGAATACATCGAAGAAGTAGGTTGTGAATTGATATGATTGGTAGCTTGTGACTGTATGTAGGAAGTAGGTTGAGAATCATTGTAAGATTGAATTGAAGTCGGATTAAGAAATCCTCTATCAGCTTTAATAATAAGGTCAAAAGCGGCATGTTGAATTGTCTGTTGTATTGGAGGGGGTATTTTTGAACCTTTGCAGCAACAAAATTAAAAAATAAATCTATTTCACTGGGTTGAGTTGGCTCTTTGTCCATTTTTTTCGCAGCTTTCTTCAAAATCTGAAATGCATCACTCATTATTGGAGAGGAAACATTATCTTGTTTTGTTTTTGATCGCTTTGTAGATTTGGAGGTAGATGGTAGCGTAGGTGTCTCTGGTATCGCCTCTTGTTCCATTTGTTCGGAAGATAGGGCAACTTCGTTAACATCATCCAGCTCCTATTAAATACATTTTCAGTAACTTTATATGTAGTTTATAAATAATGAAATTGTGTTAACATAGTATTAGCGATTCCTTTTTTTTATTATTTGAGAAGGGTGGTTTTATTTTATTCCAAAAGAGGTTGCGCAAAAAACGATATTAAATAAATAAATTATTAAGATAAGCTAATAATGAATAAAACAGGTCAAAATTAATAATTGTTATTTCATTTCAGCTACCTAAGACTCCCACAGCTTGGAAACAAGTTAGCAAGATATTTGAAACTCGTTTTAACCTTCCTCATTGTGTTGGTGCCCTAGATGGAAAACACGTTGTTTTACAAACACCAGTGAAATCGGGTACCGAATTCTTCAATTATAAATCCAATTTTAGTATTGTGCTTTTCGCACTGGTTGATGGTGATTATAACTTTATGTTTGCTGACGTAGGCTGCCAAGGAAGAATTTCTGATGGGGGGGTTTTTAAGGCAAGCAAATTATATCAGCAGCTTACAGAAAACAGACTAGGACTTTCAACACCAGAAGAACTAGAAGGATGTTCTATGCAAATACCGTATTTTTTGCCGGCGATAGCGCATTTGCTTTAAGCGAAAATCTCATGAAGCCCTATACTGGGGACTTTCCAAAAGGAACTCCTCAACGAATTTTCAATTATCGTTTGAGTAGGGGTCGTCGCATAGTTGAAAACGCATTCGGTATATCAAGTGCAGTGTTTAGGGTGTTAAGAAAACCAATGCTCTTAGAGCCTGCAAAAGCAGAGTGGGTTATAATGACAGTCATTCTTTTGCATAATTATCCCAGAAAACACTCACCAAATATTTATACCTTTTTTGGGGCACATTAGACTATGAAGTTAATGGAAATTTAACTGAGGGATCATGGAGAAATGAAGGAGATATGACGTCTATGGTACCTATACGAAATATTCCTCGAAGACCCACAAACTATTGTACAAAAGTTAGAGATGAAATCGCTAATTATTTTATAAATAATGGAGCTCTAGAATGGCAGGACCAATATGCTTGAATTTATAACAATAATTACTTACCGTAGCAAGTCTTTTTTGTGGCAAATCTCTGTCTTCTAAAAACCTAAACGCTTCATAGGCAAACCATCTGCTGCAATAAACTTCATCTCTTCCTGAAAATTAAAATCGAGATTAAAATTATATACGGCAAGTGAACTAACTTAATTAAAAACATATTATTTAGTTGAATTAAAAATTGAATTAGTATTAGCAAAAATATTTTGTATTATGATTTAAATAAAACACAACTAATTTATCTTATTATTTCATTTATTTACCTTTTCCTGTACTAGTCCCCTGCTTTGTTTTATTTTTCTCCCGGCGGAAAGAAGCTAAGAGGCTTATTATTTTCTTTTTGCACTGTTCAGCAGTGGTTTCCATTTCATCCGCAATTTCCCGCCAAGCGTCCTCTTTCAAATTTTTTTGAAGTGATTTTCATTTTTAGGATCCCATAATAACGTTTTGATTTTATAAACGTTTATCAGACATAATATTTTTTCTTCCGATCATGAATCCATAACTTTATTGAAGAAAAATAAAGTTCGCTCGCGAGCTAAAGAAAAACAACGAACCTTGTCTAAACACGTCCCAATATGCACTGCGAATTCCTTTGTGTTCGTCGAAAAAACCGACAGGCTGCGGCTCGTCGCGAGCGGCTCACGAGCTGCTCACAAGCAGTTCGTTTGGAACCATAAACCCCGTCCCAATTAGCCGAACAAGTTGCTCACAAGCGGCTCGCGAACCGCTCGGCTCGCATATGTATACGCACCTTTACGGGAAAACCAGCGAGCAACGAGCCGCTCGTTGCTCGCTTTGAGTGCTCCACCCGGCTGTCGGTTTTTCGGCGAATCCTTTGAGTGTTACGCGGTTCGGTCAGTTCGCTGCAACAAGTCGTGACGAGCGCACCAGAGGAGCGCACGCGCACACGTTGTTCATTTCGTTTATTATTAGGAATATGGAGTGGAACAAAGAAAAAACTCTGCATTTCATCGAAAAATTTAAAGAAGAATCGGTATTGTAGAATCCAGCTCATCCAGAGCACTACAACAAATTAAAAAAAGAAGACGCCTGGGATAGATTGACTTTGTTAATGGAGAGCGAAAGAAATACGTGTAAAACGAAAGTGACAAGTTTACTGGCGTCATTGAGGAGGGAAAAAGGGAAAATAAAAAGATCAAGTGGTACAGGAAAGGGTAGGTAATTATTTTTATATATTTTAAGTTCCTATAATACAGTACGATTACGTTAAGTTGTATGTCAATTATGCTACCACGTGTCAGATTTAAAGACAAAACGAGGGCAGCATTAGTTTAAGAACAACATAAATAACATAAATATAGGTATGTTTCATATTCCAAAAATACTTTATTTTCAGGTGCTGAAGAAGTATATCGTAGTACTTGGTTTGCATACAAAACTATGATGTCTCTACTGGATAGAAATACACTTGTTGCCACAACAGATACGGTAAGTTTTATTTTAGCATAATTTTCTTGCCAGCTGACAGACCCTTCTTGGATGCAATATTCAGCAACTTCATTATGAATATTGTGAGCAGTTCTTGAAGCCCTTCGCGGTCTTATTTCCAAGGGTAACATACTCGCCATATCATTGTTACTTTCTCTCCAGTTTCCTAATCTGACTATACCATTTGTTTCTTCGTCCAAGCAGGGGTATATACATGAACGTTATTACCTTTTCTCAAAAAATTGTGACGTAGTGTTATTGCTGTTACAACAGATGTCGTGGTTTTTGGTTCTAACAGCATTGGTTTCCGCAAAACTCTAAAAACTGCAGATAATAAGCCGAACGCATTTTCCACCACTCTACGAGCTCTGCAAAGTCAGTAGTTGTATATTCTTTCTTTAGAACCACGTTCATGATATCCTGAATATACTTTCATCATATTTTCGGATAAAGCAAAAGCTTCTTCTCCAACAAAGTAAAATGGAACTTCTTCCGTTCTTGCTGGCAAGGCAGTGGGCTCAGGAATTTTCAGTGAATTATTTTGTATTTTTTCGTTTAATTCACAGTTGTTGAGGACCCCTCCATCGGATATTCTTCCTTGACATCCAATGTTTACGTACAAAAAGTTATATTTTGCATCAACAACTGCCAATAATACAATGCTGAAGAAACCCTTGTAATTATAAAATCACTTCCGCTGTTGATCGGTGCCTGCAGTATAATATGTTTTCCATCGATTGCGCTCAGGCGGTGTGGAAAATTCCACAAAGTATCATACTCATTTGCTACAGCCATCCATTGCTCCGGTGTTTCTGACATCTGAAATAATACGTTTATTTTCAGCTACCCTTCAGAACAAAGCAACACTGAGTGCCCTCCATCTGCCAAACCAAGCAACATTGATTGCCCTCTGCCCCCAAAAAGGAAGAAAGCAGTAGCCCCCAACCCGGAAGAGATAATGGCATCTACTTTAAATATTTTAAAAAAGAGAACCGAGCAAACGGAGTCAACTTCACAAAAACTTGACGAACGTGAAGCCTATGGTTTTTTTTTTGGCAAGATCTTATTCAAAGACAACAAGAACATATGTTCAGCATTACATATCAAATATATTGTTTAGTGCTGATCGCGGAGAGTATGAGTATGTTGGCGATTATAACTATAATTCTTCACAAGGATACTCTACACGACCAAGAGCTCCATCGATGCCACAGCAAAGCCCTGAAGCACCTGCTTCACATACGCCTGATCAAACTGACTGTGGGTCTCCAGCTTCGAGTGAACAATTTCTATCAGAATTTGCTGATTTAATTTGATATGTAATGAATACTTTTTCTGGATTAATTAAAACAGTACGTACCTTTGCGTAATCTTTTAATACTCCAATCAAAGCTTCGCTGACCTCTTTCGCTATAAATCCTATCCGTTGCTTTGAAATCTTGAGAAGATATTGCATACTAGTATAGGAATCTCCTGTAGCATAAAAACGTAGTGTTAGTGCCAATCTTTCCGTGACACTGATTGCTTTTCTATAATTGGTATCCTTTTTATGCACTTTTGGTCCAATTAAACTCACGAGTTCTTCAAAATCGATCGGAGACATGCGAACAAAGTTTTTATACTGTCCACTAATCATTTGGTTTTTTAATATTGCTATCAATGACAAACCACGCGATATGTGTCTGTTTTTGAATAAGTCCAATAACGTTTTTTCTTCTTCTTAATTTGGATTACACAATAGTTTAGAAGAATCAAAGATTCCAACACAACCTCCTCGTCAGACATCTTGGCTGAGACTGTGGGAATATGGAGCACATATTACAAACGAGTATGTTACACCGATTTCGAACACAACGCGTACATACGCGATGCGAACATATTCGGTGCGAATGTTACATTACACCTCGTAGCGTCGGTCAGTACCCACCTTTATAATGGGCCATCCCCTTGAATTTTTGCCGCTTGTTTACCTAACACCATGAATATGGTCTGCAGAAGCTTAATAAAAATTTTATTGTTTCTGGAGTGGCAATGAATCCAGATATTTCGGAATATTAGTATAATTGGGGATCGAAATAACAGAAGCAAACTATATTGTATAATTTTTTTATTCAAATAAAAACGTCAAACAGTATATCTACGCTGTCCGTAGTATTAATAAATAATTGGAATGTTTCAAATATAGTACATACAACTCTCTTATCATTTAGAATATTTATTAGTGAGCAATAGTTACTCGCGACACTATAGAGAGGTGATAGGGGTCCTTTTTAATCCCCTAAGGGGTACCATAAGAAACCCACCTTACCCCCCTTCAGCTCGACGAGTCCGCCCGTCACTGACAAAGAGCAAGTTCCGGATATTCTACGTCACGTGATTCTTTCTGATCTTCCCTACTCGGTCCGTTTAAACTAAGATAGAGAGAGAGAAAAATATTGCTAAAATACGAAAACTTTTGTCTATTCAAACCGTATTTATTCAAAACAAACAAGAGCACTCGAACGCCGGTTCTATCCGCGTGTTGCTGTCTGCCCAGACGTTTATGGCCCGCTGATCAATAGAAGTGCGCGAATTTGAAAGTTGAGCGGTGGTGTTTGTTTCAACATAAATGAGGTTTGAATATATTACAAATTAATACAAACGTCGTTCTTATTTTGTGTATATATGTGGTATCGTTGAAAATACATTCACTCGAAAGATTTTGCAGATTTGAAGACGAACTTTTTATGTGCCCCGTTGCTGGTCCAGAATAAATATTGCAATCTAAACAAATCTCACACCACTTTGTAAAAGTTCTAGTTTCGACAGATATGATAATGTCTATAACGGGAAAATAAAAATATTTTATCAATGTCCATACATTTATGCTTCTATAATAATATCAAGTAATTGTTTGTCAAATAAACATAGCCGTGTCAAGTTTTATGCATGTTTTTACGAAATTACAGACATTGCTGTTCAAATGACGCTCAATATTTATGCATTTTTTCCTTCTTTGTTTCAAAATTCTACTACAAAAAAGTGAATTGGCGTAAATTATGTATTCAGTACCATCAAATATAGCTTTTTTTCAATAATGTCCGTTGTTTTTTTTAAATTGATTAATAGAAATTTGATATATTAGGGTTGCTGGAAGATCTAAGCTACCACCTTCTTATATCACCAATACATTATATGAATTTATTTTGTCCTTTTGTCATCATAGTTAATCTAAGACTTTATGTTTAAATCAACACGCTTGTTAGTAACGCATGCTCTATAATCGTTTATGGATAATGTTAGACAATTACTAGCGCAACTAATAACTAATAGACTCCTTTAGTATTGGGCTAAACATTTTTGTACTGGTATATATTACCTAGGAATCAATAATTTTTCACTAAATTCGCTAATTTCTCTTTATCAGTCTTAAGCTTAAATGGTGCAAAGTTGGGACTGCATATTACATATGGCTCTAATCTTCAAGTTACTCTCTCGATACGTTCATGTCTCCCATAGAATCTCACGTATATTACCAAGAGTCCATAAGCAAATAATACACGAGATTTCCGTTTGATTTGCTTTTTGAACCACAATGAAATTTTGATACAATTTATGAAACAAATTGTGACCATGATTTGTTCATTGAAGTCGCTGGGGCCAACATTATTTATGATATAAATCTCATTAGACTTTCTGGCTAAAAACACTGTATTGATGACTTCATCCTTTTTATGTCCTGTTGTCTCTGTCTCAATGTGAGCCGCAGGGTATCATTTTAATTATAATAATTATGCTGATTCAATATTCCACGCTATCAAATTGAAACTTGAATTGGACAGACCAATCCACGTAATGTTTTGAGCTAAAGTGCTCAAATATTTTTGGACGACTTTCATTACAATGACATTTCACTTTGGTGAAATAATTTCATTTTCATTCCGAAGAAAAAAGTAGCAATATCCATAACGTATGTCCTCACAGTTTTGGCACAAAGTTCATTGGCTTTAATTCTACCAAACACAAAATAATATCATGTTTCCTTTGGAAACAAAAGTTTGTTTACTTACTCTCCTGTCAGTTGACATTCATTTATGTTGAACGTTTCGGTTTAAAATGTCGTATAAATTAGAAATAAGAAAAAATATCTACAAGTTGGTTGGGCGGGTATCCAAAGCTAAAATCTGTCGAATATTCCAGAATGAACCATTTATCGAACAATAGCAGAGTGCGAGCATCTGTATCTCCCAAAAAGTGGAAGACCACGTGCATTTACTACACAGAGGTCAATACAGATCTTCTAAGAGTACGATATCTTTGGAATTGAGGGGGAATGGTCTTAAATATCGAAAGAGACTTAATAGCACCAAATACTCTCAAGCGCAACTCCTTCGTATACCAAGATGCTGTCGTCAACTGAGGAGGGTATACTTTGTCAATGGAAAAATCATTATTCTAGATGACGAAAAGTATTTCAATTTGAGTAATTCTGAAATGAAGGGATTTTACACGGACCACGTAGAGAAATGCCCTGATAATGTTAGATCCAAATATAAAGCGAAATTTGCAGGTAAAATCCTTGTCTGGTGCGCAATTTCTAAAAGGGGTGTATCCCAACCTTTTGTGAGAAGGGTGAGGGGTGGAGCTTTGAACAGTCAGAACTGTATTGATAACTGCCTTTCCCTATTACTTCATTTTGTCCACGAACATCATGCTAATGACCATATCATGTTTTGGTCAGACCTAGCCTCATGTCATTGCTCAAGAGATACTTACTCAAAACTGGATTCGACAACCCAACATACCCTTTGTTCCCAAAAACGATAATCCTCCAAACTTGCCGCAGGCTCGCCCAATAGAGGATTTTGCGCTTTACTCACGTCACAAGATGAAGAACAATTTTTTTTGTTCTGTTATTGGCACTGGTCGATGACCAACTGGCCAGATCCTTTATGAAGAACAATTAAAACGGCGAAAAACTGAGAGAAACTGATCTGAGTTCCGTCCAGAACTTCATGAGTAGGTCATGGTAGAGCAGTATGGGCCACTCCTCATAATTCAATAGTATAGTTTAGTTAGGTATTGAGTTGTAATTTATGATAAATAGTTAGTGTTTAAATAAATTTATTCACTAAAAAAATTAAATATTTTGTGCGAAAACTTTTAGGACATACGTTACTGCACCGTATCTGACAAGTCGTATCATTGTTCAGTCCTATTAGTTTTCTTAAATGATTTGATTTCCATTAGAAAGCAGATACTTCTCTGATTCGATGTATCGGCTTTTTTTCAATACGTTGACGTTTCATATCGCGGATAACTTGCTAACGTTTATTACAGTTCGTGCAAATAAGTGCCTGTGATGTGACGGTTGGAGTACGACTAGGAAAATATTTTAAGGTAAGTCGGCACTGCAATCGATGCTGATTTGTTGATCAATCATCTTCTCATTTAATGAAGAACTGAACAGAACCCCATCTCCAAATTGATGGCAATGATAAATTAAGTCGATTGGTGTCTCAGGTACCTCCCGAGTCTAGATTGAATATTTATACATAGCTCAACCGCCTGAACTATGGAAATTATCAGAAAAAAGGGCAACTGGAATCATCTACAATACTTTGCTAGGCCGATGCCATGATCTTCGTTTACTCTCCCGTGCCCTGTTGAATGACCCCTCACTTTTCTACTCGGCCGTTTTACAAATCTGAAGGGCCCATTTTTGTTACTAGGGCAATAATAATTTAGGACAGAAGTACAAACCAAGATATTTTTTCAGAATCTGTTGAAAGTTAGTCGGTTCAAATGTCTGCTTCAATATCTACTCAGGATTGCAGTCTAGACTAGATACAATTTAGAGAGTTTTACATGGAAGGGGGTCTTTCTAATGACAAATTCGCGAAACGATACAGCCTGATTTGCGTTGTTTTTTATAAATAATGGGAAAAGCCCAAAATTCAGTATTTTGCCTGTATATTTCTCAAATCATATCTTATAAACAATCGGTAAACTGGAGATCTTAGAGCATAAAAAGGCTTCCAATTTTGTTTTTTAAGAATGAAAATCGATAAACAGTTAAGCTAAATATGAGGCTTTTAGCAGTGTTGAATAAATGCTTATAACTATTAAAATAACAATTGTAAATGACTAAAAAAACTGTGAGAATGAGGGCACTATTGATGTTAATGAGTGCGCTAAATTTCAACCGGATCGATTCAATAGCTTATGTAGAAAGCTAATTGGTTATCTCAGTGACGAATTATTTAAACAACTGTTCTTGCCCAAGCTTTGGTCCTTGAAAATTTTACAAAAGTTAAAAGGAGAAGGTTTCAACTTCAAGAACATATACAAAAAATTGGTGAGTATGAGGACATTATTGGTGTTAATATGTTGCTAAATTTCAGCCGGATCGGTTTAATAGCTTATATAAAAAGAACATTTTACACAAGTGAAATGGATTCTTGAAGAATTTATGCAAAAAATTACTTATTTATTTCAAAATTGTTGTAAAAAAATTATGTTAAAAAACGTTATCGCATTTACAATGACCACGTTATTTTTCAATATAATTTATTGTTACAAGTTGATCTGAACCTTCTACGACCATTAGGAGCCAAGATAATTTTTTTAAAGTCATATCTGCTTTTATTTTTAGTTTATTTTATCTTGAAATGATTTACGCTACATGCACTTCGTTTGTAATACAGCAAAAAAAAAACATTCAAATTGGAAAATTTGCCACCAACTGGTAAGCTGGTAAGCAACATATATTACGGGCATATTAGCAGTTACAAACATGGTTAGGCAAAAAAATAGATCCAAATAAGTACGAGTGGAGGCGAAGTGACAACGGTTTCGAACCGATCTATACTATGGACAGTTTAATACCAGACGATACAATCAAAGAAATTTCCTGCAAATGTACTACTGGTTGCCAAACGGGTAGGTGTAGTTGCAAAAAAAGGCTTTGTGCATAAATTGTCATTAATGATGGTGATGATGACACACAATGCTACAACCTTGCACTATTTGGATTGACGATGATGAAGAGCAGACTGAGAAAATCGACGACTTATTTGAAGAAACAAATTATACCAATATTGAAGATTAATCAATCAAATTAATAAAATATTATAATAAAAAAATACATTTTATGATAGTATTATAACACAAAGAATGCGCATAAAATACATATAAATGAAAGAAAAATGTGAATCAATATTTTTTACAATTTGTTAGAGTGTATTTTGTTTAGAGTGTATCAACTGACTGAATTATGAATTGTTTAAATAATTTTATTGTAAAATATAAATTATTTTATTAGAGATAGATATTGTTAATGTTTTATTATTTCATAGTAATTTAATTTTGAAGAATACAGCGTTTCAAAATTTCTGGGATTTCCCGATTCTCCAGGAAAAAATATATAAATATTTCGACGAGTTACCCCAAATTGAAAAAAGAAGGTTCTGTGTTACTTAGAAGCCGAGATAATGTGAAATTTTACAGCGCACCCTGATTTGAAGACTGAATTTCAAAAAATAAATCAAGCTACTCCATCACCTCACCTAGAAATATTTACCGAGTACGAGTACCTACAATTTGAACAAATAGTAAAATGATAAATTGGATCATAAAATTAAGATCCTTGATTAAAATCTGTGAAAAATTGGAGTCTTAATGTTTATAAACAAAGAAAATATGAATTATAGCTCCTACTGGTCGTACCAGGTTTTTTAATATGCGTTTTTTTAATCACCTATCCAGATCAACTTCCTAAAATAAATTATATTGCAAAATAACGGGGTTATGTAAATGTTTATATATATAATATATAAAAATGGCTATTTCTTTAACATCATCTTTTACAACAATTTTGAAATAAATAATTAATTTTTTGCATAAATTCTTCAAGAATCCATTTCACTTTTGTAAAATGTTCTTTTTATATAAGCTATCAAACCGACCCTGCTGAAATATAGCACACATATTAACACCAACAATGTCTTCACACTCACACATTTTCAGCCATTTACAATTGTTATTGCAACAGTTATAAACATTTATTCAATATTGCTAAAAAGCCGCGTATCTAATTGTTTATCGATTTTAATTCTTAAAACATAAAATTGAAAATCTTTTTATGCTCTAAAATCTCCAGTTTACCGCATTACCTATAAAATTTAATTTGAAAATTATACAAGCAAAATACTGAATTTAGAGCTTTTCCCATTGTTTATAAAAAACAACGCATATCTGGCTATATCTTTTTATATATTTGTCATTTAAAACTTTCAGATATTTGCTAAGCTTTTTTATATGAAATACCTATTTTTTTCTTCGTAGCCTGGGCTACTGCCCTCCAAGTTTCTTTCGAGAACTTCCACACTAGGCAGACCATCTAACTACTCTAGGTTAACATACTAGACTAGTCCGGGAGTAGTTTTGTGATTTTTCGTTCACGTATACAGATGCGACATCTGGCTGCAGCATCAACAGCATTCAGATGCAGACGCGCAGGTCATATAAAAAATACACTGAACCAGAAGCCAGAAGTCGTGTTTGGATTCATGAACGAATCCTCACCTTTGGAGCTTTTCCGGGATTACAAGGAATGCCCTTAAAACCCTGGTGATGTCCCATAATAGGCCAAGAAGATTTTACATAAGAAAATCCTACAATTTTCGCGACAATAAATTTTTTGGTGATATCGTAATATTATTGCTTCCTACTGATAAGTTCAAATTGTCGCCTTGATAGAGCATTTGGGCCGATTTTGGTAAACGCGTTTGATCGAAAATCTCGCAAACCATCGATCCATGTAAAAAGGTAGTATAATCAATTTTGTCGAGAGTTAAATTCTTTATCATTTCGCTTGAATAAAAAATTGACGTATAGTTAACGGGTTACGAGAAATTGAATGGTAAATGTACATGTAATCATATTTACACTTATAACGGCCAAACCAAGAATCTAATAGGAGAAAATAGAAGAGAATAACATTTTCTACAAAAAAAGAACTTGTTGATTTTTAAATATTTTGATGGTTATTGAGGTATAAGGAGGGAAAGCTGTAAAATTCGTTTTAAAACAGTCACGCGAAGTAATCTACACGCTACGTACCTCGTCCCCGTTATCCACATACAACATTATTTCACGTGGAGATAACTTCATAATCATTATCTATGGCCAAGGATACCATAAAAGTGAATAACATTTTTTGCTGTCACGTAAAAGTATGGAAAATATATTTTTTGATAATCTGCAATGTTTTGATTATTAAGATCAAGTCACTAATTCGCATCAGCCTGTCAATTGGCGATTTCGCTTTTAAGTAATCTCAGTAACCGTTGCATCGATTTTAATGGAAGGGGCGATTCAGTAGAAAATCTCCAATAGAGAGAATGACGGAAATGAGTGACTTGCATTTACATGATGAAGACGTTATAGATTATCCGAAAATATTGCATTTGTGCTTTATAATAGATAATGACTACGTCAAAACATGTTGTATGCTGACTTTTGATAAGAATTCTCAAATTTCGCTTTTCAAGCTTGAAGAACCATTAATGTGTCAAAAAAACGTGGAAGACCTTATTTATAGAAATTTTTTTTCTCTACAAAAAATATAGCAGTCTTTATACGCTTAAGTTGTTAGCTAAGCCATTATAAGCGACAATATTATTACATGTACCTTTACCTTTAAGTTTCTCGTAACCTGTATATACATATAACATATGTATATGACAAATTTCCATAGAAGCAGAATGAAGAATTTAATCCCCTACAAATTGTTTTCATTACTTTTTTAAGATAGGATCGATGGTTTCTGAGATTTTCGATCAAACACGCTTATCAAAATGGTGGCATACCACCAAAAAATTTACTGTCGTCTGACCAATAAAACAATTTTTCATCCAGTTGAAACTGATGAAGTAATCTTATAATGTAACTTCTTCATATTACTTTTCTGTAAAAAGAAATGAAGAATTAATTACCTATATTTGATTTGCCTTTGTCGAGCTGTTTCAAGTATAGCCACATATTTTGTTAAAAATTTGCTCATTCCAGAACTTCGACCTATATTGGATTTTCTCAATCTGTGTATTTATTTTGAGTGATTTTATCAATCAATAGCATGGATGGCACTGGCGACTTACCTATAGAGAGTGCGTCGAATATTTTCGTGAAGGTATTCACAACTGTTTAAATGTATGAGGTCCGGAGTGTTTGAAATATTACTGGTACACGTATCCTGTTTCTTTCTCGTCAGGATGTTCCTGTAATCTTCTTTAACAGAGTACACTGGATACTTCAAAGCTTCCAGTTAGGTAAAAATCTTACAGTTGTGAGTTTCTCCAACATTTTGCCTACTAGATTACTCGTATCAATCTGACACGCATTAAATGTAATTTTGACCTACACTTAACTCCTTTGGGTTTTTTCTTAAATATTTTTTGGTGGCTCTAATTCATAAATATGTACAGTCAGTGTTTCTAGTTATTTTTTATTTTGTTTTGCTATGAGCGCTCGCCCTACTTTGTATATATAATTTTTATTACAATAATATTTATAATACATTTTAGAATTTCGTTTCGCCGATGTACAGTCCTTGCGAAAAAACATTAGACACCCATGTCAGGCGGGCAAAAATTATTCTAGTGAATGGTTCAAGAGGTTAAACATGCTACAATGGAGCCCAGTAAATATTATTGTACAGTCGGTAGCAAAAATAATCGGGCGAATCTTTTCCACGTCACAGAAAATTTCCAATGAATCAAGCTTGCGCTATTATTTTTTCTCCCAATTATTATGCACTTTTATATGTGCACATGTTTACTACTCGTCCAACCAATTTTGTTTATATCCAAAGTATTTCACTGTTTGTACCAATCTTCCCCTAATGATACAAAAAAATCGTTTGTCGAGTGGCAAAACTGTGAAGTGTTCGCAGCACAAAATCGTGTCAGGAAAATTGTTGTTGTTTATTGCTTTTTTGTGGCCGAGTACCTAATACTTTACACAAGTGCTGTACTTACAACCGGCTAGTAATAATAATAATTTTAATACGTGTTTTTCCGGAGGCTTCGGGATGAAGATTTTTGCGATAGTTTAGTATGGAAGAATCACATTTGTAACACTACTAAAATGTAATTGGAAGAACACGATTCGAACAGTATCCATTTGCCGAAATAATTTCATAGAACAGTTGTAGCAGAATTAAAATCTGGTTCACTGGAATATTTGAAATATAGAACTTCAACCACTTCTGACATCTCAATGGTAGGGGCCGAATTCGAATCGCCCACTTTTCGGTGCTTAATGTCCTAGTATTTTGTCAGGGCAAAAGCTTAAAAATCCAGTGTGATATATTTCTTGCCTTCCTAAACAAAAGTTCTGATGGGACCAAAGCAATCATATGATTAGTTTTTGAGATATGGCTAGATTAAGTTTGCCCAGTTTGCAAAAACGGTGAATGTGATTATTGTAGTGTTATACTGAAGAAAATAATTCATTAAACAAACATGTAGCAGGTATTGGGTTGTGTCATGTTGATCTTGACGATGCCCCTTACAGGGTCACTTCAATGGAAATTCTATTTTTGTACTTTGACGATGTTCGAGAATTCAAAAAGATTCACTTAAAAGCACAGTTCGTTTCACAAGGGCGAAAGTCGTGGTTGCTTATTTGTCCCTGATCATTTCAATTCAACCAACAACAGCGTGTCCTTGAAGTGTCCAAGTATTATTAATCGCGTTTTGGATTTACGAGCAATGCAAATGTAGCACTTGTGTTATAGTTGAAGATTGGTTAGTAATCTATATATGCGGCTGAAACAAATAAACTTTTTCGTCAGAAAGACATATATATATATATATATATATATATATATGTCATTAATTTGATTCATCTATTGGTCAGTGTAAAGGAGATGGATAATTTACAGCAACTTAGAATAATGTTGATACATGTGCGCTTTCCCGTTCTTCTTCAAAATAAACATGACTTTGATTTGACCTAATAAGGGTCACAAATGTTTTGCCATATTATTTGGCAATAAAAGATTGTGTGAGAACCTTAAACCATTAATTCACGTCAAAGTTAATGAGGAGGCAATTATTTTTTTCTGAAAAAAATAAGAAATTTGGGCATTCACTTTGACTCGGACTTACGTTTCAACTCCCATCTGAATAACCTCTTGAAAAATTGTTATCTTTTCCCGAGGCTTCTGTTTGCAAACAAACATATTCTGCATGAAGACATCAAAATTAAATTGTGTCAAAGTTTAGTTATTTCTAAAATGTTATATGGCTTATCCATATGTTACCCTTGCCTGACGTCTATTAACGCAAAACATTAGCAGACAGTGCAGTATACCTGTGTAGGGTATATCGAAGGCCTAAGAAAGTTCGATCATGTATCACATTTGTATCGTAACCTTGCATGGCTATGCGTTGAAAATCTTTTCAGTTACTCTATTCTAAGCGTTACTCACAGAATCGTACTGACATCATCCCCTCATTACATCAGTTGTAAAGTTGTACCAAGGGCGTCTGTGAATAATCTTCAGGTTTGTAACCGGTACACCTTAACCATGCCAATACATCGCACAACATTTTTCAGAAGATCATTTACTTACAATGCAATTGTATCTTACAATAGCTTAGGCCAAGATCTAAAGACTATTCAGTCTTCCCAGAGTCTTAAAGTAAAGTTGAAAAGATATTTGCAAGACAACTGCTAGATTAAGAAGTTCTTTCATTTCCATTCTTTTTTATTTTCGATCAGTTATTTTCCGGTTTCTTCATAATCTATTATCTCTTCTTCTTTTTATAGCTAAATCGGCATTACTCATTCTCTTGTTTTGTGATTTAATCCTTCCATTTTCACTTTTCTTTTTTTGTTTTTGTATAACTTGTTTTTTTCAAGATACTCTATTGGCCAGTCCTTCCTCCTTCAAGATAAACATTACTTTGATTTGATCTAGTAGGGGTCATAAACAAAGACAAGTAAACAACCATGATTTCTTCATGCTCTTGTGAAGCGAACTGTCCTTTTGTGCGAATCTTTTCGCGAGAACAACTCGTACCAGATCTGTTTTAGCAACAACCTATACAAATAAATTTGCTCTTAAACTGACCTTTTAGGGATTATGGGCAAGATCAGCATGGTACTTCCCAGCTCCTTTCTACAACGTTTTTAATGAAATAATACTTTAAAAATTATCTCAATATTTGGTCAGAGATCTACAATAAGCACAATCACAATTGTTGCAAATCAGACAAACTTCAAACCAACATTTCTCAGAAACAAGCCATAGGATTGGCCCCATGAAAACTTTTGTTCGGAAATGCAACAAGTTCTTCATACTGAATTTTTAAACGTCAATCGACTGGACCCATTTTCCGCATGTTTTGTGCAGGGTCCATTGTTTCAGCAAGTACATACTGCACAAAATTTTATCTACTTGCCTATATTTTATAGTGTATGATTAAGCAAAAATCTCCAAACGATTACCTTCGAAATATTTATCATGAAGAGGTACCGTGTGAAATGTTCTGTGGTGTGCGACTAATTTCTAAATTTTTGCATCATTTCATTGGATTCTGTGCGAGTAGTATAAAATAATGCGAGTCCAAGGTTAAAAATGTCAGGGTGAAATTCTCAATGCCAAAACATCATTGAAAGAATAACTAAAGTAATAATAAATAAGATACCAAGAAACTCGCTTCTACGTACGACTAATAGTAAGTTAATAGTTGATAAGGAAGGGGGTAAAAGAATGGAGGATCTATAAAAGAACTCGACCTTTCATATTTTTAGACCCTGGACCAATGCTAGTATAAAACAGGAACGTCTTATGTACAAGGGTTATATATAAATGAACGTTCAAAGTATAAGATTACCATGAATAGAGGGCTTTCTTAAGTCCAGGACCTTTTTTCATTGAGTCAACATGTGATAAACTATGTAAAGTAAACTAAGTTTTGATGCTATTGCGATTACTCTATCAGCAGTATAATTTTGTACTCGGTACTTATGCTACACGAATATCTACTTCAAACGCCACGTTTGATTCAGTCATTCAAATATTGACTTTAGTCTCTACGCAATTGCAGCAAAATAATTAATATTAGAAAAGGTTGTGCATATTTCCTTTTGCATACGATTTTTGTTAAAAAAAATTGAATATGGGTGTGACAGTCCAGTAAAAAAACTCATCATGCGAAGATATAGAAATAAGGCCCTGAAAGTACAATAAATACAAATAAACTTACATACGTGGCTATACATGTACAGTCAACATCAAAACAATCACTTATAGGTAACAAAAAGACCATTGTATATGTCAGTAGTTAGTCATTGCTTACACAAGAAATATATACGCAATGTTTTTGTTGTATGTTTTTTTATAAATTTTCCTAAACGTAATGATAACTAACCACTTAATTTTTATTTTGTTTTTCACTACCGTTCAGATAGCCACTATAGTAATTAATCTAAAGTATATAATACAAACGCGCGTACATACGTGCCACGGGACGTGAACGTGGACCTGTTGCACATGTGTACGCGACTAATATCTGTGATCAGTATCATTTTGTTTAAATGTGACGTTCTAAATAAAAGTTACAGTTTAATCAACGCAAATAATATTTCTAATCGTACAAAATATATTTCTCTAGTACGTTTGAAACATGTGTCTATATACGTATATTCAGATAAATTAATGTTAGAACTGAAAACAAATAATATAATCTTTCACGAATAACAAAAGTATAAATAACTATGTATCCACCGGGTGCTCAGTAACACATATACTCGTATAAATTAGCAACTAATCAATAAATTATCTACTATCACATACAATTTCATCTAAATATCGGCGTATAATCACGATTTTACAAAATATTTATCAAAAGACAATCACTGTCATCAATATGCTCTCTTCGATATTTTTGTCTTGTTTTGGGTAAAATGTAAACAAATCCCTAATATATATATAATCATCTTTTTTGGCTTAATCTAAACATTTATTGACCGATTTAAGAATATCCCAAAATCAAAAGATTTCATCAAACATTTATTTTTAATATGATGATATATGTTAAAATAGTGAAACCACCAAACTTGAGATTACTTATTGCTGTGATAGCGCCACAGCCATTGTTTGTTATGAACAAGTCGGATATTTTTTAATTACTGGAACATCTGTATAAAATTATACGTGATCTCAACGACTAGTGTGCTATGAACAACACCTTATAGTATTTTTTCGCCTGTCAACCTATGCGAGTTCAGGCTTTGTTCTAATATTAGAAATTAGTGCTCTGGTCTTACTTTGGCACATTTTTTTCTAAAACAATATCAACATTGATTTAAGTTCATTTTACCTAATTAACGAATTTCATAAAGCTTTGTTAGCCATACTATAAATATTTAAACACCACGCCTTGACAACGTAATGTTTAACACTACAATGTAATTTTTGTGTTACCTCTACACCCGGACTCACAAACTTAACAACGGTTTAAATCTGTTGGGGTACTACATAATAAATGTATATGTTACGGTTAAAGTATTTACTTAGATAGTTTATAGATTAGCTGGATAGTATATAAACTATGCAAAGGTATGGTTGGTTTGTATACTATCCAGTTAGTCTATCAAATATACAAGATTTATCGCCAAAGTACAAGCCACAAGAAAGTTATATAAATTAACCAGAATTTGTGGCTAGTTCACAAACTATCCACAGTAGTTGGATAAAGTGTGAACTTAATATCACTATTAATACATAATAACCAACTCATTGGTTAGTATGTAAACTATCCAATCCTCTTTGGCTAATTTAGTTTAGGATAGTAAAATAATTCTCTATCAAAAATATATTTTATTTTTATGTACAACGTAACATTTCTATTACTACTCAAAAATAAGAAAAAAGAAGTAGCAGAAATAGTATTTGTGTGGCAAAATATTAATAATGAACCCGAAAACATTGAAGTTCTGAAACAAAGAACATTATTATTTATTGGAGCAAGTTGCACTGTTGTGGCACTTGCTGTTACAAGTATATCCGGTAGCAAAACATTTACACTTTGTATATATGTAAATCATAAGTATTTACCACATATTAATCATTCTTGTTTTTAGGGTTAGGTCCAGATTCACGTATTGTCTTTTTACGTTGCAAAAGTTTAGTATAATCACTATCATTCATTAATTTTGAATTCTGTGACTTTTGGTCATAAAGTTCGAAGAGTATTTTTTCAAATTCCTACTGTTGATTTATTTTCAATAGCTGGATGCTTATTTAGGAACGAATTTCACAAGACACGATACTAAGCAATAACAAATGCTTTGCTACAAACCAACAAATAAATTAACCAGAGAATTAGATAGTTTACAATATTAACCAACGAATTGGTTATTATACGAGTATATTCCTAGGAATGCTGAGCTCACACTTTATCTACCTACTGTGGATACTTTATGAACTAGCCAAAAATTCTTGTTAATTTATCTAATATTGTTGAAGTTTTTACTTTGGCGTTAAATATTGTACAGTTTATAGACTAATTTTGTGAAAAGTTGATTTTCCATCAAAGTAACCAGACATATGGATAGTTTGTATACTACCCAGCTAGTCTATAATCTAGCTCAGTATGTACTTTAACTGTAACATATACAACTGATCTAGAAAATCATAAACGTAGAGTTATGTACTTAATTCAAATAGTAAGGGAGCCCAAGAGGCTTAATTGGCAGTTGCTCGAGCGACGTAGACTATTGCGTAGATTAGACCGCAGAAAGAAAAAAAGGTCATGGTAAAGAGTAGTTATATCAAGAGAAGACACTTCGCGGAATGTCTTTATAATCTGCTGATCTGCCCCATTGTCCTTGACAGTCATCTGCATCATAGTAGTGAAGCAGATCGCAAATTTTTTACTACATCATCGCGTACTGATATGATATGATAAAAACTAGTTGCAACTTACGTATTTTGTCGCTAAACAGCAAACAATGCCGAGTGTGCTATTTGGCGTCAAAATATGTAAGATTTCCCTAGTTTTTAACATTCCATATCAGTACACGTAGTAACAAGAACTTTACGGTCTGCTCTTGGACTATGACTGGTTTACAAATAAAAACAGAGATCTAGGTGCGGAGGGTCCTTGGCTACCGAGGCGGTGTTGCTAAGCTGCCATAAAAGATTTATAAAACGTTACATTTATACTAAACAGCTCTTTTCAAGCTACTTGGTGATTACGACAAAAATTCATACGAAATACCTCATCGTTAAAGCCAGACTATCTGGATGACTCGCGACCATGTGAAATAGACCGGATTGACTCAAGAGGATGCAAGGTATCATTCCTTATATTAATATGACGCGCTCGAGTAAATCCCCTTTTGGGCTCCCCTACTAAGAGATGTTTTTGCTGAGACTCTTCGACGTATGTTTGTATATTTTGAGTTGTGAGACATTAGGGGACTGTATGTACATTTAATACTTGTAGTAAAGGTCAGTAGTCAGTAGTGCAGTGTACGTGATCAATATCATTATTTTGAATTTAGGTAGTTTGCCTTCTAGATATTACAGTTCCCTCATCTCTCAGTATTAGACAGTAAATGAGTTAAATATAAAAGACCTATTAATTTTTGTATATATTTTCTAATACCTAAATTGTGTGTAAAACGTTTCAAAGATTATGCATAGACAAAAATAATGTTTTGAAATTGACCAAAATTAGAATCCTACATATTCTTATAATACAGACATAGTCAGTGTCATTCAGTCACTTCTGCCAAATACATTGTGGCCGGGGTTATCCAATATAGTGTGTTTAATTGACAATTGTATTGTATATACAATGATGTTTTTTCATTTCAATATCCAACATTTTTGATCTCTTAGTCTTAAGAAACAATTAAAACTAGGATATAACTGACCGTCACATTCTCCGAATGATATATAAGAAGATTTTGTTAGATTTGCCCTTTTATGCAAGGCGTCATTTGGCCAGTAAGATAACAATGTATAGTTACACATGAAGTAACATTCCTTAACCATACATATTCGTTCACTGTTCTCGTATCTTCCATAAGTGATCGCTGACTACATCTGTCCTCTTAATTTTGCATCAAATTGTCAATTAATGAATAACAAAAATGTATCTGATCTGACTGAAAATGATAATAACAAATATGTGCGCAAACGTTCGCCGTTGAAGCCGTAAGCAGGCACGAGAAAAATTATGTGATCGTTGATGACGCCTTTTTGTCGGTACTAGTCTAGTACTCAAAGAATTTACTTTCAAATAGTCTTTTCGAGATATAGACCATCCGTTTGATGGAATTGAGTGTGCAAAAAATCATTACAAAAAACTGCTCTGGAAATTTTTTCCTCGAATCATTCTGAACAAGAAAGGTCCTTAGTAATTTTCGCTTCCGAGCTACAAGCCATTTAGGCCCAATTTTCCGTTTACTATTTACAAATTCTTGATTCGGATCAAAATGGTCCAATGTAACGGTTTAAATGAATATATTCGATTCCTTCTACAACAAGCGAAAAAATATACGTTTTGTGTCCATCTTCAATGATTGAGAACTCGATTAACAATCATTACTTTGGAGGTTGTCAATTATCCAAAGTGAAGCTAAAACATTCCCCTACAAGGCTGTGAAAAGTATTTCAAGATTAATTTATTTTAAACTGATTTTTAAGCTAGTTATTTAGACATTTTGATTTTCGCACAGTACATATTGTGCAGGTGCTGGAGGGAATTGAGTTATCAAAGTATGCACTTTATGAACAGATATCAAGTGAGGAAAGGTCAAGGAGCAATAATCCAGATCTTACCGGCACACTTTTTGGTCCATTTTCTTTTAACCCCCTATAAGTATAAAGGAAATATGTGGAGTACATGCAATGTAGCGATTTTATAGGTTACTTTAATTAATTTATATTTATTCTAATTAAATGGATAATAGGTTGTTAAGTGGAGCAGCAAAACAAAAATTGTAGTTAACAACATTATTAGTCATTAGTCAAAAATGAAAGAAGCGATTTTCTACAAATTCTTTAAAATGGAGATAACCTAAAAGCCGTGCGTAATTGGATAACATATGTTACATGGCTTTTCTGATTGGAAATGACTCCCATCACTACGTTTCCACGACTTTTGGAGCGCCCCGATGGACTTTGCTATAAAGAAAACATTGGCTTCGGCTTCAATTTAATGAAGGTGGTATGTACAGTGTGTCAAAATCAAAAGGTTGCCAATTTTGGCCTAATAACCTAGCTTTAAAATCTTGAAATACGCTTCGGGTTCTTGCAGGAAAAGGTTTTTGCTTTTCTTTATATACCTTGCAACTAAAAAAAAAATTAGAGTTTTTAATCATTGAAGCTGATTTTTTGGATTTTTCAGATATTGAATAGCATATAGTTTAGAAAAAAGTTACTGATGACCTTTGCTGTTCGACCAAAATGTGACCAGGCTAGATCCGGATTATTATTCTTAGACCTCTTCGCAGTTGATATCTGCTCAAGAAGTGCGGTCCTCGCATTTCGCACACTCAATTCCATTTAGCGCTTGGTCTACATAAAGTTTGTAAAGATTTACATCCTGCAAGAAGTGCAAAAAATTCTACTACCTTACACTTAGTCGCGAAATTACGCCAAAAAGTAGATATTTTGTTATGCACATAGGCGTATACTACTCCACTTGTCCAAGATCCATTTGGCTTTCTTTTTGTCTAACCGTCTCTTCCAGAAAGTACAGCTTAACAGATATGGATTAAAGTACATGATCAACCAGAAGAGGACTTCAAAAGATCTTTTCCATGAGTACTAGGCTATATCATGTGTAGATCTGTAATCAGTTAAAAGTCTCATACATCTCGTAAAAAATCACTTGTAGTGTTCTTGACGTCAAATGTAAGGACTGGAGTCATTTGACAGATGCGGAATGTAACAAAAGATAACTATGTTTTTATCACAATAATACTTGAGCTCATATTTTTAATCATTAGTTTCCCTACCTACTAGGTTATTGAATACCAAAAACTACAGCTCTTTAGGAACTGCAATTTTTGTGTAGGGGCAACATTATGTAGACTTATTAATATAAAAATTCATTGTGGGAGAGCGTTGGACAACAAAAGGGAAACTCCGTCACCTTCCTCAGTTGTGGTAGATGCTCTAATTTCTAAAAAACTCTGATATAACGTCCAGGGACCTAGGTGTCGAGGTCTTGCCGGATCATAATCAATTAGTATAATAACATATCAACATTTGATCAAATAGTTATCAGTGGACATCATAGAGGTATTTTAGCATGTTTGAGGTCACTGGTCTTATTATTGAGGTCGGCTGACTCCTATTACCTCGGGGTCAAGTCGCTTATAGGTCGAACTCAAAAAACTGCTAAGACGCTTTTCAACAAAAAAACTATTTTTTGTTTCAGGTGGCATTTGTTATTTCAAGGTCAAAATATGTATACATATTCCAAGCTAAACGCGTGTAAAATGTTTGAATTTGTCTGAAAACCTGCACATTTCGGTTTCTAGGATTGCTGAATCCAAATCAGGCGTTCGTTTTAGCCTCCAAAGTTATTGACAGGTTACTTCAGTGTAAGATACCCCTATGGGGTCCAGTGATAACTCTTAGATCAAATGGTGACCTGCTGACATATTATACAGGATCGTCGCGAAGAGCTCTTTTGTAACGATATAAGGGTACTGTCATGAGAGCTGCAGTTCTTAGCATCAAATATTTGGAAAAAGTGAAAGAAACATTGAATGTTGGGACATTGGGAGTATTCATTTAAGTGCGTGCATATAAACCTTCATATACGAATTCTTATTTGCCGCAATCAGTAGAAGATGACCCCAATCCGCGACATAGTACATCATTATACACATTCTACCTGGCACTTATTTGTCCACTTCTAGCAACACTAGATCGTCCGCCACCACGTCCGAGATGTGAAGGTAGATGATCCAGTACATGAGGTTGAAGCACACGAAACACACCGGAAACACGATCCTGGAGTACTTGTCGATGTCAGATGGCGTGACTCCGTACATCTTGTTGATGTCCTTGTTGGGGTGGATGATGTGTTGCGGAATAGGGGCGTCTTCGTCGGGTCGTTCAGGACCACCGCCACCTCCGCCTCTGTCTCCACCACGGCCGCCGTTTACAGTACTCTCTAGGGTACCGCCTTTGCTGTGCGCTTTTGGGTCGTGCACTTTGAAACGAACCTCCTGCAAACAAGATGGGAACTCAACAGTCAGTAATTGATAAAACAGGCGTCTGTACCGGCCAACCAATAATAAAGGACGCCGGCTGTATCTCGGCAACCGCCCAACCTTGAGCTTACAATGGAAGTGGCCAAGAGAAATCGCCGGAAAGTATTTTCAGCTTCCTAAAATGACGGATAGGTGACGTCATTCCAATTTCAAAAATTCAAACCCCAATATTTTGCAAAAATTCATAGTTTAACATATTCATTAAATAGCCTTATAGTGTTGATCGCTCAATTTCGGACCTGTTTTGTTTTTATCATTTTTATATATTTTGGTTAGTTTAGGGTGGGGAAGGGTGGAATGTCATTTCAGAAAAAATCACGTACCTTATGTTTGGCTACATTTTAAACACATAAATCAAATCCAAGCGAATAATCAAAATTTCTGTGTTATGTACCGCGGTTATAATATGGTTTACGATGACACACGGGTTGATGACGTCAGTTACTCGAATCGCATGAACGCATTGGTTTTAACAGCGATTTTGTTGTAGGTTGTTTATTCTAGAAAAGCGCGTATATAATTTCTGATTATTTTTATTATCACTCAGTCGGTGCTCTTTCGTCTAGAACAGTGCATGGAAAGTTTAAAAAAGAAACGTTTCATAATATTAATGGGAGAAATTTTTTTTCAGAAAATAATTTTTAATGATGGAACCATGGCTTTGTAGCTATGATGACTTTCAATTCTCTGAACCTTTCCGCATGTAAAAGAAAACATTTATTGATTTAGCAGAAATGATAGGAAAAAGCGATGACAAAAGATATTAGCAAAACCATATACAGGTGGACATTACCCAGTGAGTTTATATGGCCATATTTTAATATTCTTGTGATATATGGCTACACAGGATACTTTGATAAGCATCGGACCTAGATTTAAAGTGTTCCCAGCAACAGTAATGAGTATAACTAATAAGGTGCTCTACTTTCCAACACCCGCCAAAATTAAATTCCAACTTGTCACATTTCAAATAATAACCAGAAATATAAAACTACTCCTGAGTTGGGTAAATACCACAATTTTGCGGTGATAACTATGACATATAACAGCTGATTCATGACGTCACGGATCTTATAACCAAACTGATAATCACACTTGTTGAACGGATCGGTAAATACCAATCCAAAATAGTAAATACCATTTTCATTTGGTTATTTGCTTGAGTTTGATTTTTGTTTGAAGGAGTATTCACTTGTTCAACTAATGGATGTTCAATCTTGTCACGTGAGTTCAGGTTGTGGCCACAAGATGGCGCTTTGTAGATTTGTCAGCGGTTTGTTTTTATTTTCGAAAATTCCAAATGCAACGATATAGTTTTTTATATTGATCGGAAAGTACATAAAAAGTCCTATAAAATTGTAAAATCTTCATTTGTTATGGAGATACATTAATAAATAGGCTTAAATTACAATTTTCAAGTACTACTGCTGGATAAAAAATATTTATACTACGATTAAATCCAAGCGAATAACCAAAATTTCTGTATTATGTACCGCGGTTATAATATGGTTTAAGATGACACACGGGTTGATGACGTCAGTTACTCGAATCGCTTGAACGCGTTGGTTTTAACCGCGAATTTGTTCCAAGTTGTTTATTTTAGAAAAGCGTGTATATAATTTCTGATTATTTTTATTATCACTTAATAATCGGTGCTTTTTCGTCTAGAACAGTGTATGAAAAGTTTAAAAAAGAATCCTTTCATAATATGAATGGGAGAAAGTTCTTTTTTCAGATTTTTTTTTGTTATGATGTAACCATGGCTTTGTAGCTATGATAACCTTCAATTCTCTACACTTTTCCGCATGTTGAAGAAAACATTTATTGATTTAGCAGAAATGATAGGAAAAAGAAATGAAAAAAGATATTAGCAAATACGTATACAGGTGGACATTATCCAGAGAGTTTATATAGCCATATTTTAATATTCTTGTGGTATATGGCTACACATGATACTTTGTTAAGCATAGGAACTAAATTTAAAGTGTCCCCAACAACAGTAATGAGTACATCTAATAAGGTACTCTACTTTCCAACACGCGCCAAAATTCTAACTTGTCACATTTCAAATAATAACCAGAAACATAAAACTACTCCTGAGTTGGGTAAACACCACAATTTTGATAACTATGACATATAACAGCTGATTCATCACGTCACGGATCTTATAACCAAACTGATAACCACACTCGCTTAAACGGATCGGTAAATACCAATCCAAAATGGTAAATACCATTTTCATTTGGTTATTCGCTTGAATTTGATTTATAAATAGTTATGTAAAATGTACCAATTTCACTTTAAAATTCCTTACCATAACCGCTAGGGGGCGTAGCTATCGCCTGATAAATGGAAAAACGTTTTCTTCAATTCAGAAAATACCGTGTTTCTACCTTTTTGTCATATCTAGATCCACTGTATTATAGCGGCTATTTGATATAAAAGAGCTTATTAATAAAATTTAGTTTGCCATTCTAGGACAGAAACAATAGAATAATCTAAAATAAATTAGTGCAAACGTCAAATATTCAATGAAAGCAATTCACCAGACATGAGTGACATACTTTGAAGTCCTACAAATCGCTATGAAATCAAATAGGTTCTTTTTAGGACTGTATACATCTTTTAACAAAAAGAATCATCAAGATCAGTTTATTCTTTTGCTTCTGATCTAGCATATGACATGGCACAGTAGATTTTGTTACTACTCTCTTTTAAATTAAATTGCCGCTATAATATTACAATAGTTGTAGCATATCTCATAATTTACACATTTACTGAATCTAAATAGGACAAATAGGTAGAAAACACGGTATTTTATGAATTGTTCGTATTGCAAATCCAACTGAGACAAAATATGAGGTCTTCTTGAAGAAATAGCGTATTTCATATAGCTGCGGCCTTTGCGTTATAAAAAAGCAGATAAATAAATTAAAAAAAAACGCTGACAATCTACAAATCGTCATCTAGCAGCCAAAAACTGAACTAATCTAACGAGATAGACCATTCGTTCAGAGCGCAGATGAATACTCTTTCAAACGAAACCAAGATCATCCAAATGTAGCTAAACAGAAGTTATTCAAATCATCTTTAATGTAACGTTTTCACCAAATACAGATAACTAGCCTACCTATAATTATTGTTTGATTTTTGGAAAAAGCAGGTTCTTAGGAGCCAGATTTAGATTTAACCATCAGAAGACTATAAAAATGAAGGAATAGTAATATTCTCTATTCAAATCTTATTCATTCCCGTCTAAAGAAACACCAGTGCGCAATCCTGCAAATTCCGTGCTCCTATTGGCTATCGGTCCATAAATGCTTTCGTAAACAGACTCATTGCTGTTCAGAGGACTGATCGATAACTTTTCTCGGGACCTTTTCGCACCGGCAGGCCGTCGGCGATCTAACTTTCTTCTACCGCTACGCCAACGGGCTTTGCACCTCAGAGCTCTCCTCCATGATGCCACCGCGCGATGTTCCTGCCAGACAGGCCCGCCTGACTTCGGTCTCCCATACTGTCTCGAACTTCGTACTTTCAGAACTAGTCGATACGATTGTTCCTTTGTGTCTAGAGTATCGAGATCGTGGAACAACCTACATAACGAGGTTCTCCCAGTTCTACTAACCTTAGGCAACTAAAAAATCGGTTCTACCTCCATCACAATGAGAGAATTTATCCAAACGGAAAGACTCTCACGGCGCAAGAAACCGCTCCCTCAAAACGCTTGTTTCTTTTCACTTTTTTTTTGTGGTAACCGATTCAGCCTTTTTCCTAATCTACTCGACAGATATCGTGTTGATGGGTTTTCCTGGTACACTTGTAGGTCGAAAAGTATATTTCTATAAAAATTTGCTAATATTTGTATCTAACCCAATAGAGAGTTTGAGCTACTTATAAGTCAGCATGCATAATGGTATCTACAAATAAGAATGTTGTTAGGAAATTGTGATGGAGTTTTAAGGTCGGAGATTTTCAGATACTAAAATCTAGCAACGAGAAATGGGGACATAAAACAAAGCACAAAGCATGCGATTAAAAATTGGCATATATAGGAGCAAGCTGATGGATGGCCAGCAAACAAAACTATTGAAGAACAGAAAAAGGAGGAAAAGAAGAATAGGACATAGCAAACAGAAGATGTGGAGTAGAAATAAGTTCTGCTATAAGAAAAAGACTTGGAAAAAGATATCTATGAGGACGTCATGTCATTAATAGTACATATCCAGTTTGAGAAGTGAACCATTATTGGGCGAGCAGTTTTATAACCTGATGTGTGTATCGCCGGAGAATATAATGTGAGAGACCAATAATGGTCTTCTCAGACAAAGCATATCTAGAATTTTTTTCACTGCTAACATTGTATATTAAATATTCGATTTTACATCACGATCATGATGTTTCCAACACATTTTACAAATGTTTTAAAACATTATTTATTCACCTGGTGTCAAACTGAGATATTCAAATTAAACATGAATGTAACAAATAGCGAATTTGGCTTGTACTGGTTCAGTCAAGTAAGGTAGAAATTGAACACTGAGCACGCTTAACTTAGCTCAGGACATCAGGGACTGGAAAGTGTCTCTAACACCCTCTCTATCGGATCACAGGTATATACTGTTCAAGACTGATGGAGAGATTCCGTATAAATATGCTCGGAATCCCAGGCATACTAGATGGGGGTCCTTTAGGGCAGACATTGACAGTAAGCTTGGAGCGGCCCCATACAGGCTTGGCAGGGGCTCTGACATAGAAGCAGCTGTCGAGTCTCTGAGCAGGGACTTGACGGCTGCATATGAGGAAAACTGCCCGTTACGCAAAGTTCAAGGTAAGGGCAAGGCAACCTTCTGGACCAAAGATTTAGAGGATAGAAAACGAGCGGTGCACAAACTTCTTAGCAGAGTTAAGCACAGGAGAGGTTCTCCTCTATGGGAAGAATACAAAAAGGCATTGCAGGAGTACAAAAAGGAGATTAGAAGGGCCTCCAGAGAATCCTGGAGGCACTTCTGTCAGTCCATAAATGACATTCCTGCTACTGCAAGAATACACAGAGTCCTATGCAAAGACATTAAAGCAAGATTGGGATCTCTGCATGATCCCTCGGGGGGGAATACTACTTATGAGGAAGATACTCTGAGGCTTTTGATGGATACGCACTTTCCCGGTTCCACAGTAGCGCGATCAATCACAGAGTGCATGCAGTTGCGCAGGCCCTCAAGGGAGTACTGGCGCACGGCTAGGGAGATTGTCACCTTTGAAAGGACGGTATGGGCAGTAGATTCGTTTGCCCCATACAAAAGTCCAGGTCTGGACGGCGTATTTCCGGCCATGTTACAGCAGGGACGGATTTCGGTTGTTCCTTACCTGTTGAATGTGTTTCGAGCATGTGTGGCCACGGGCTTCACACCTAGAAGCTGGCGGCAGGCTAAAGTGGTATTCATTCCTAAACCGGGCTGAGATAGATATACTGGCCCGAAGGATTTTCGACCGATTACTCTTTCATCTTTTGTGCTTAAGACCCTGGAAAGGATAGTTGATAGATACCTAAGGGATGGCCCGCTGGAAAGGTGTGTCATTCATGCAAATCAGTTTGCATACCAAGCTGGAAAATCGACTGATCTGGCCTTACACAATCTGGTCGGGAGGCTGGAGAAGACTCTAGATCAGCGAGAAGTGGCACTCGTGGCCTTCTTGGACATTGAAGGTGCATTTAATTGCACCACAACCGACTCTATCAGACAGGCCTTGGTTAGACACGGGGTTGGATCAATCCTAATAGATTGGGTCCTCTCTACTCTGGAGGGTCGGGTAACAACAGCTATGCTGAATAACGTAAGCTGCAGCGTGTACGTAGCTAGAGGCTGCCCTCAGGGCGGAGTTCTGTCACCCCTACTGTGGTGTATCGTGGTGAACGAACTCCTCGTTAGGCTCAGCAGTATGGGTGTCTATGCGCAAGCCTATGCTGATGACGTAAGCATAGTGGTTAGGGGGCGTTTCTGTAGAACAGTCTCGGAAATTATGCAGGGCGCTCTGCGCTCCGTGGAATCGTGGTGTAGGGAAGTCGATCTTTCTGTTAATGCTGAAAAGACCGAGCTGATCCTATTCACTAGGAGAAGAAGGCTTGACGGACTGGTCATGCCGACCTTCTTTGGGACTAGATTAGTTTTGTCCCAGTCAGTGAAATATCTGGGAATTATCCTGGACTGCAAACTGAACTGGAGAGAGCATGTGGAACACAAGGTTAGCAAGGCTCGCAATTCGATGTGGGCTTGTAGACGTGTTGTCGGTGTAAGGTGGGGGCTTAAACCCAAAGTGGTATACTGGCTCTACACGACGATAGTACGTCCATCTCTCTTGTACGGCTCCCTAGTCTGGTGGCTTTGCATTAGAACTGAGTCAACTAAGGCCAAACTCAATAAAATTCGGCGTTTGGCGTGTATTAGCATTACAAGCGCAGTGCGAACAACGCCATTGAGTGCAATGGAAGCTCTGTTGGATCTCCCACCGTTGGATCTGGTGATCCGCGGTGAAGCGAGAGTAGTCGCTCATCGACTGTGGAGTCAGGGCAGCTGGGCTTTCTTGAATCCGGTCAAGGGGCATACTGCCATCTTAGTCGAATTAGAAAGGGAGGACCCCGTCCTTCTAAGCAGGGGTGATCGTATTACCCCTAAATATCGCTTCAACCGCAAGTTTATTGTGGAGTAACCAACGAGGGAGGAGTGGGACGCCGGTAGCCGAGGACTCTCCGAAGTGAGCGGGCAGGTCTGGTACACGGACGGCTCGGTCACCGAAGAGGGCTCAGGTGCTGGGGTCTCTGGGCCTAGAACTAGGCTATCTCTGCCTCTCGGTGAATACACCACCATTTTCCAGGCGGAAATATTTGCGATTCTGGCTTGTGTATCTCACATTCTGGAGGAGGGTGGGCCTAGGAGAAGAATAACAATCTTATCCGACAGCCAGGCTGCAATGAAAGCACTAAGTGCCTGTAAGATTACTTCGAGTCTTGTATTGCAATGCAGGGAGGCTCTGGATTGCCTCGCAGCGAGGCATCCGGTATCGCTAATATGGGTACCGGGGCACGCTGGGATAAGGGGCGGACACTCTGGCGAAAACAGGATCAGCCAGCAAGCTCGTTGGTCCTGAGCCAGCTCTAGGAGTAACCGCGCATAAAGCTAGGAGGAAAATGGAGACGTGGGTTGCAAGACAACACTCTCAGAAATGGAGAAGTATCTCTAGACATCTCCGCCAGGCACTAGAGCTCATTGAAGGGCCCAGTGCTAAGGATGGACGCTTCTGCCTATCTCTGGGTAGAGCCAACCTAAGGTTGCTGGTGGGACTGTTGTCTGGCCATAACACGTTAAGGCGGCACCTGCACGTGATGGGGGTGGCTGAGGATCCCTTGTGCGAACGCTGCGGAGTAGAGGAAGAGACCTCGGCTCACGTTTTGTGTCGCTGTGAAGCTCTGAGCTACTATAGGCAGACTATACTGGGGTCCATTACTTTGGACCCTCAGGACGTAAAGGAGCTTGGACTCAAGGCGATTCTCAACTTCGCTAAAAGGGCGAGGCTTGTGATTTAAGTATTGTAGAGGTGCATAAGGGCCCGCTTAAGCGGCGGCCTATGCACTGGCTCCTTATGGTGGCCGGGATGCCTCTAAATTTTTAAGATTCATTCATTCAAGGTAGAAATGTTTCCTTTTTGTTAACATTAAAAGCCGTTTTCAAACATTATGTCGATTATTGGGGGAATCAAGATAGAGGACTACATGAGGAGCTATACACAAAATCACTTATTTCTCAATTGTTCTTAAATATTTTGAAATTCGAAGTTCAGTTGCCAAACTGATTCAATGTAATTGATGGGATACAATTTCAAATACACATTATTATTTACCTAGGTGTTTTTTCCCATTATTTACCTAGGTAGCGGAATGCTTAGGGCATTGCGATTGATAAAGACGATTTCTCGGGTTATTCGTGAGAAAAAATGAATTGTTATGGTACTAGAAACCTAATAGCACGGTAAAGTTATAGTTCAATTACAGAATCAGGTTAGAGAGAAATGCTATAGGTATGAATAAGAAGAAGCAAAATGGTAATGGTCATAAATAGTTGTAGGAGACTAGGATTTTTTTCTTTGAAGTAGGAAGTATTGACAAATAATTGTTATCGGGATTTTTTGAAATGTATTTCCTCAAAATTTACACCATTGGAACAAATATGTACACAGAATAGCTAACAATTGGAGAACCATGCATCACTTCTAATTTTCTTTTATATTGTCTGATCTTCGCTCCAATTCAGGCTTCATGACCCTACATCCTCCACGTCGATTAATTTCAATTTATCAACGCCAGTTTGTATCCAGTTGTATCAGAATTAATCGTCCGCTGTCTGCTTGACATCCATGTCAGCCACAGCCACACAGTTCAACTCTTGCACGTCAACGACGCATCCCTAATAATCATGTCCACCTTATGCTAGACCCTTAGCTTTGGAACATAAATAAATATGCACATCTATCTATCTTGCATGCGATCTTCATTTATTACATTTGACGAATCATTTCGAATTTTGAGAATCGTCTGATGATGATGATGGTGACCCTGGACACTCATGCTCACCATACCTGGCACTTATTTGTCCGCTTCAAGCAACACTAGATCGTCCGCCACCACGTCTGAAATGTGGAGGTAGATGATCCAGTACATGAGGTTGAAGCACACGAAGCACACTGGGAACACGATTCGAGAGTACTTGTCGATATCGGCGGGTGTGACACCATAGATGTTGTTGATGTTCTTGTTCGGGTGTATGATGTGTTGGGGGATGGGGGCGGATGCGGCCTCTTCGTCGGGCCGTTCAGGACCTCCCCCACCCCCTCCACGGTCTCCACCACGACCACCATTTACTTTGCTCTCCAAGGTGCCGCCCTTGCTGTGCGCTTTCGGGTCATGCACTTTGAAGCGCACCTCCTGGAACAAGACACACGCTCAACACCTGAACCCGCCCTCATGGGTGTTACTGATGTGATGATCTAACCTACACAACCTAGTATTTAAACGAATCCGTATCCAAACATGACAAAAATTAGGTGTGGTATAGAAATTTTGCGAGTAGCTTGGGGCCAATATAGTGAGCAACATGTATGTCGCGTTCAGACATGGGGCCAATGCATTAGAACCAACGGTTAATTCACGCGTGGGTCGGCACTTGGCCTACTTGTAGGATATTATTATTACTATTATTATTATTATTATTATTATTATTATTATTATTATTATTATTATTATTATTATTATTATTATTATGTCTTTATATATGATACAGGGTGCGTTTGATAAATACTGCCCTGCGGCGCTTCAGTCTGTTGAGAAGAAAGGTGTTATGTTTAATAACTAAACAGCAATCTCAGCTTGAAATTAAAAACTGTGGACCGTGGAAGAAACTCATTATAAACGAATCGTTTTATAAACATTTTGTAAGCAGAGCGAAACAGGCTCATAGGTCGCTGTTTTGTAAATTAGTGAAAGTCCAATAATTATATAAAATAGTCAAAGAAAGACATCTTCTTAAAATCAACATGGCAGTGAACCAAGAGAATAAAAAAGTGCTGTTATAACATGGTCATCTAAAATTACAGTGATTTTATTCAAAATATTGACAAATGATTTTGAAGAGAAACCTTGGGGAAAATAACAAGTGGCATATTTTGCTACATGAGGATAGTGCTTCCAGCCGTACACCCTGCATTGCTACGTCTTGACAGTCCTGGTTTCATAGTATTTTCCAAATTTAAGGTAGATGAGTATCAGCCGGAAAAATTTTTATTGGATGCCTTTTGAAATGCTGAAGCGCCGTTAAAATAAGAGCATTGCTGTTGGAAGAGATTGAGTGGAAAAATAAAACATAAATAAAATGTAGCTTTATAACAAGAGGGTCTGGAGTGGATCATAGAGATCAATCCTGGTACATGGACCGACAAATATTACTCCCACTAGTTAACTCACAAGTCTCAGTGATATAATTACAGCGTAGTCATATTCTGATACTTAGAAAGCTCGGTACAAAAACCAGAAAACTAATCGATAAAACTTGTTTGATCGTCGTTTTCAGAACAGCAGCAGTTAGACCGAATTTGAAGTTCTACATATTAGACACATTTGTTGTATATTACTAAAACGTCATCCATAAAAAATTTCATCACCTAATTTTTGCATATATGGTCTATTTTATGAATGTCGTAGAAAGTAGTCCTTGAAGACCTAGAATTCTAAGAGAAAGTAAAAAGTTGAAATGGAATAAGTTGTGGAAATCTGTTAAGCTAAGTATAGTATATTAATGATATTTATGTAGAATAGATAGTGGGAGAGCCTGAAAAAGGAATGAAATGAAAACAAAGTAGTTTATAAAAATTAGTCTAAACGGATTTGACGAAACAGTCACACAAGTAAGTAGACATGAACATTCACTCTAAGCCTGGAAAAAGGAATTGCACTACATCACGATAAGTTCAGAATATACGAAGATTATCTACTATATGTATATCATATACCCTCTGTTTTATGGAATAAAATCGAGGCTACCGCCATACATTTGTAATGCCCCCTAACCAAAAGATCCGTTCGATTCCCAATTATGTGTTACATCTAAAAGGAGCAATAGTAACAGCAATATTTCACATTTTAACTATTTTGTGAACATTCTGTAACAATTCATCATTCAACAACCGTTAATACGACTTTGAGAACAATGGATCTGTTCTAAATCTGTACGAACTGAATAATAAGGTATTTTTCTGACCTGCCACGAGCAATACTTTACATAAAATTAAATCCAAATACTGTTTAGCGTAACGCATTGTACGCTATCAACTCAGTGGCGTACGACGTAGCTTGCCATTCTTTTCCATTTTGATAGTTGACTATATTAGGCGTGTATTGCACCGTGCATGTGACGCCTGCCAAGTTATTGTCTAGATCTAGATGCTCTCATGACCCAAGCTGAAGCCATGCAGTCGAAGTTATTAATTTATTTTCACCTTACGTATGTCCTTCACCTTTTCACCACGCTGCATCAAAAGAACTATCAAGGTACGATCGTCCCAAAATGAATGAATTTAGTTATAGTAGGTGACGAACAAAAAATGAATCCCATCTCTATTAAGTAGCACTCCATCTAATAAACTTACAACTACTATACCATAACTATCTAAAACTGTCATGACTCATCGATGTTCATGTGAACATCACGCAACCACCGGTAGTCAGGTTTTCAGTGGCGGGATATGCATTTTTAATGTGGGTGAACTTGACTTCTTTTCTATGTTAAATAAAAAAGGAAATGGTTTGAAAGACGTTATAGATAATTAATTTGGAGATTACCTTTGTCAGTTTTTTTCTGATTACCCATGAGCTAGTTGAGTCTACCTCTCTTCATTCGTCGTCGCTTCCACTTCCTTTTGAAAGTAATTAGCTGTCGCTATCGCTTTCTTCGCCAAGATTAACTATAACTGGGCCCATGATGGTGTCAATGTTGTGGTCAAGCTAACACATTTTTGTTTATTCCTTTACAACATGACGCACAACATTCTGCCACGCTACAGGCGTTACTAGCTGTATGGAATTCTCTAGAAAAGTCTTGACGTCTGGTAAATTGAAAGTTGTGTTATGGCGCGCAATATAGCCCTTCACTTGAGCCCAGATGAGCTCTATTGGATTGAGTTCACAATGGTACGGCGGTAGCGGCACAGTCACACCACAATGACGGGCCATCTCATCAATCACGTAACTAATGTTCGCAGGTTTGTGATGTTTAATTGTTTCGTACAGTTCCGTTTTCACACATGAATCCTTAAACGGAATGCCCTTTCCGCGCAACCATTGCTGCATCTCACTTCTTCGAGATCCCATACTTGGTACACGTACATGACGATCACAGAGTTGGGTTCAACTCGCTGAAGCACCCCTTGAAGCCAGCTCTCGAAGCAGCTGGCATTTCTTAGAGACGAAAGTCCAGTTGCATCCTTCTAAGAAGTTACTATCGGTGCCAATATGTGTAACGATCAATCTTTGACCTTTCCCTGACGCTGCACGAAGACCTGTTGACCAACCTTCAATGCTTGCTTGTCTGTTACTTAGTACATTTTTGTCTATCCAGGTTTTTTAACTGTGTGACCTGGATTTACCCACGTCCCGTCCAAATAATATATATATATATATATATATATATATATATATATATTATATATATAGCTCCTGATGATGATGGCAAAGACCATTGAAAGCTAGAGAGAATAAAAAAAGTATAAAGAGTCCTCCTTGCTTAAATTTTGTCGAAGTACAAGGCGGAAGCTTTAATTTTTCACCTAACTGGTCTAGACGACAATAACCACGTCTCAAGTTATATATATATATATATATATATATATATATATATAAAATGATGAATGTACCATTTAGTTTAATGACTTTTCGTCCCTTTAAATGGAACTTTGGATCAGCAGTAGTTCCAGTTTTCTTCTGTTCATGCACCACCCTGCGAACAGTCCACTCTGGGACGCCTGTCATGATTTCGCAACGCGTAAGTGCACCTCCTGCGACATAGTCTTGTTCAAATAACTGAACACATTGAGCATGATCTCTTTCGCGTTCTTTTTCAATGCCTTATGAAGCTTTATACTTGTTCCCTGTCTTCCAGTACTTCCACCCCCAGTCTCACCCTCTATGGTTAAGGAAATATAAGCATACCCCGAACAATAACAACAGAAATAACCAAACAACATTTTTTTACCAACAAATAATATCATGTGGTAACTAGAGTCTCAACGAAACAAGTTCCAAACACTACTAGTCTACGCCAATGTATCGGGCCTTGTAGCGTGAAAGCATCTTATCTCAGGACCGGAATCAGTTTGCATTCTTCCTTTCAGTTTAATTGTGGTAATATTCATGCGCGTTCCTTACTCTTAGCATGTTTGTTGATTTTGACTAGTTATTACTTGAACTAAGTTTTATTACAAGTATCATCAGTGGAAAAACTACAATACGTTATGATTTTTAAAGCCACAAAATCAACTTGAATTGCAAAAAGCTGTAAAATATAAAAACTATAATTTTTTCGGTATAATAAGTATAACGCGAAATTCCACGGGATTTCGTGTCTCATGGCGTCGGATAAACTTACTTGAAGGAAAAAAAAAATAAAATCATCCGAGCGGGGTGGAATGAAAGCACAAAGCTCAACCGCTTGGGCAAACCAAGCCATTTGACATCCGTACCGAAACAGGTAAGGACCTAATAAGGCAACCAGAGGACGATTGAAAATGATTGATGTTTATGCTTCCGAGGATTTTTTAGTTCTTTTGAAAACCCTTATTTTCATAGTAGTAGCATTTATGTATGATCCACCATTTAGGCAGCGTACACAGATACACTAGCACGATAGTGATTTTTGATTATTTTATTTATTCGAGCAGATCGCTGTATGAAAGCTTTCTCCTTAAAATAAGTCCAAAAATTCATAAGCCGTTTTACTTCAGATTATTATAACAAATGAATGAGATCCTGTAAGCATAATACAAAAATTAAAATAGTAATAAAGACATGACTCAAAACGGTAGGCCCATATTTTCCCAATTTTTGTTTATTAACATACTTGTATTCTAATATCTCAAAGTCTATCAAGTTGATTGTGGGACATATGTTTACCCGAATAGAATTTGTATTATTTAGAATGTTTGTGTAGATCGGACACTCAGAGTTTAGAATACCATCCTGTTCTAGCCTGACGCCTCTCGACAGCCGTTCCGTCGCCCGGCGACGATCATTCTCTGATCATGCGAATGAGTCATTACAGTTTTAGATAGTTACACTATAGTAAGTTTTACGTGTTTATGGTTTAACCTGCTTCCTGCTGTTTTCAAACTTCTGCTAAATTGAAAAATACTGATAAGGACACCAGAAAGTTCTAGGTT